GTGAGCAGTTTCTACTGCCTTGTGTTTTTTGTGGCTAAATCTTGTCTGAATGGGCTTCAATAGATCAAAGAACCAAAATATGAACAGGGTATATACGCAGCATGATCCGATGGGTGACCAAGCATGGCTGCGTATAGTCGTAGTGTCTGACACTGTATCCCTCCACTCTCGTTTCTATCGTTCAGCTATAAATCACTCTGACTTCCTTCCCTGGATGATGCGCTTAGCGCCCAGCATTATGGATAGAATTTAATCCTGCAGTTCAGATGCAAAAAGGCCTTAGTGGATATTAGGAACTATTCAACACCCCCCCCCCCCCTTAATTGTTGTGTTGTGAAAATGCATTGATTGATATTCCTTTTATACATTTGAGATATTTCAGCTACGGTATTAAATATGAACTCTATTTACATCACATTCTAAGAAATGACTTACGGTATTTGAGATTACAGTACATTGTTCAACTATTCTATACACGCTTATGATGATTTTGCTTGAATCCATGAGTAATATTTACTTTACTCTCTATCTCGATAATAGTTGGTACTTGTATGTGTACACTCATTTGTTTCCTGAAAATTTCAATAGGAATCTTTTGGTATATTGATATTTTTCTGCGACGCTTTCCCAGTATCTGTCGTTCTGGAGTTGCATCCTTTTGTATAGTCAACTTGCATCTATGCTGATCAGTGCCTTATCAGTTCATTTAAACCCTCTGCTGGTTGAATACGCCTCAATCGATCTAGAGTGCCAGATGCATTTATTCAGTAGCTGTTTTACAAGTGCTTTATTTATTGATTGAATGGGCCAAATCTTAGAAGGAGTCAATTTGGCAAGACCACGCTGGGATTTGTCACTTTCCAGATGAGAAACGATCACTTTAGATCTCTCATCCCTTCAATAGGTCCCGTGTGGGAGGCTTTCTGGAATAGCCAATCGACTCTGTGGTGGGCTCTGCGAATAAAAATGAGAACTGAAAAAGAGTTTGCAAACCACTGGTGTTGGTTGTCAGATATTTTTACTTCTCACTTTTTTTAAATCGTCAGGAAATCCTTGAAATGTGAAAGTATCATTTCAGTCAGCTTTGATTTGATTTAAATCGGTGCTTATGCAAATATAGCATTACCCTTTCTGGTAAATGACGCCATTGTTGTGGTAATGCTCAACACATAATTTGTGAGGATAAGATATTGAAATGACTAGTTTGAGGGAAAAGAGAATTCTCTCTCTTTGGGGAGAGATAATCCAGGGTGAATATTACAGGGAGAGCTGCAGGCTCTTTAATAAAAATTTGTTCTGTTATTTTGTCACACTCAAAGCAGATTTGTCAGATATTGCAGATTGGTCAGACAATTTACTACCTACATGTATGAAAAGGGAGATTAATGTATGGTGGTTATACAGGGCTAGAAGGGGCATACTTACATCATGTGATATTGCTTCATGTAGTTATATATCTATGTACTATCTTGGGTAGATATGGAGTTAGATTTTGCAGATGTTCTTTATTTTGCCTACCATCTTTCATTTTTACCTTATTCTTTTTTTTTCTTCACTTTGTCCTTTTTCTTTCTTTCTTTCTTTCCTTCTTCCTTTTCCATTTCTCTTTATATGCCCATATTTCTTAAAGCCATTTTATCAGTGAGTGCTCAATGTCTTATGTGATAAAAAGATTGTAAAACATGATTGCTTTTCAAATGAAATAGCATCCAGTAAATAATCTGCTAGAAAGTGAAACCGAGTGATCTTCAATCTTAATTAAAAAGAGAGTGATAGTCAGATAGAGAATGTGAAACAGAAAAAAGAGTGAAACAATAAAAAGAGAGATGAACAGAGACAGAGAGACAGACATGAAGAGGAGACATATAGAGAGAGAGAGAAAGAGAAAGAGAGAAAGTTTGGGGTGCGTTAAATTAAGGAAGTTATAAATGAGATGTGAGAGCTAGGAATTCTAAGAAAGTGTATTATGCCCTCAGAACATACTGTTTCTTTGGCTGTTGTGCTTTCATCAGAGCAAGTACTAATTGTTACAATTACAGGTGGCTTTTCTAGACAGGTTGTGCAACACATGTTTCTTTCTCAAGGGAGACAAACTACATGGCCACTACATACGGTGGCCTTAATTAAGAGGTGGCCTCTAAGATAGGTTTCACTGTAAATATATGCAATAATTGTTTAATTACTTTATTATGTTTTTACCATTTTTGTCTCCAATAGAACATAAATACCATCTAAAAGTACACCTGTATGTGTTATTTAATTATCATACCCTGTTTTACAATATTTGTTTCTGATATGATTGTAAATGTTATAGAAGTGAATGTAATACATGTATGTTATTGTTTTCTCGCCATGTTTTACTATACCTCTTTCTTTCTCTGATTCATGAACACACAAGTTATCTAAATGTACACATTTATATCATTATTTAATTACCTAATATTTTCCACCATTTCCATTGATCTTGTCAGTGTGGTTGGTACTGGGGCCCTATGAGCTGGGATGATGCTGAGATGAGACTAGAGAACACCCCAGATGGATCCTTCCTGGTGAGAGATAGCTCTGATGATCGTCATATACTCAGCTTGACCTTCAGGGTTCAAGGTAGCACGCATCATACACGCATTGAACATCATAATGGTGAGTATTAATACATCATTCAAGACAAAAATTCATATTTTTGTAGTTAGTCTGATCATTTTTCATTATTCAAAACCCTAAATATATACCAGATGAATGAGCAGAAAGAAGGAAAAAATGTACATCCTGTGTCCACTTGTGATGTGTATTCATATATCATTATATTGATAAATGCTAGGAACTTTTATAATGAGAAAATGTATTAAAGTCCCTGAATTGGCAATAAGTTTGGAGAGTTCAAAATGACTGTTTCCATGCAAATATGTTCAGTCAAATGTTATTTGACTAGATTCTGACAATGGGAAAATTCTAATCAGATACATGACTTTGTTGTTTAAAAATAATTGTAGGTGTTGCTAATTTGAAGAAGAAAAAATGGATGATCAATTATACCTCTGTCTTCAATCAGCTCTCATTTTTATTAAACACCACCTGGAACTTGCAAGTTGGGACCACCTTTCTATAAAGTCTATTATTGGTGTCACTTTACTGGATTTACAGAAAAGATTCTCAACCCCAAAGTTCAACTTAAATATTGTAGTGAAAGACATTCTACTTTGATATTTAGAGTTTAAACCTATTAAGATTGCAGGCAATGAAGGAAACCAAAAGGTATTGCTTTTACTAGCCATGAGGTATTATTAATGCAAGATCATGAATGCCAAAGGCTTCTCCCCTTCATGGATAAGCCACAGCCTGTGTAGTGTGACCACTACTCCCTAATTGGACTCTGGAAAAAAACCTCGAGATTTATGGAAATTGAGACCTACATTAGAAATTTGCTGATGTCATTTCAAATGATGAATTCCATCGAATCGGATCCTTGCTGAATTTAATCTAGAAAACCATATCAAATTTAGGAAAGTTCCATTCTGGCAGAGGCTGACTAATTATAAATCGTTGAATTCTGAATTTCATCAAGGTATAGTCATCAAGTCTGCCCAAAACACTAAAAATTAAATCAATAAATGTTTAAATAAATTGACAGATTGTAATGGAACATATTGGGTGAGGGGTGTGGTTGATGGGGTTAATGTACACTAGTAGTGCTCATTTAGAGGATGTGCATACATTGTATATAGATAAAATGATTCAACATTCCTAGAATCATGTTTTATAGAGGCTGATGTTTCAAGTTATGATACATCTGTTCTGTTTGCTCATCTTTGAACAAACAAGATAGGTATCAATAATTCATGATATGGGGGGAAATTCCCAATACACAGAGTCGATGAAAAGGTAGGGACAACCGTTTCGGACCCCCGATTGATCTGGGAGTTCAATTTTTCACCAAGCGATATGAAAAGTGTGTGAAAACACGGAAGCTTTTTGGATAATGATGATTCCATGCTAATGCACACAGGAAGTAAGCTCTTCCCCATTTATGAAGGCCTGGTGGAAATGGCTCTCGAGAGTAGTGTTTATGTCACTTCTCTTTCCGTGGCTGGCTGACGGACGATCCTACCTTGTCTCTCTGGAAATATGGAAATTGTATATAAGACCTAGAGCATTGTTCTGTATAGTTATAGGTGGTAGTCATTCCCAGGTACCTGGTGTGACACCCATAATATAATCTTGCAGACCATTTGTCAGGGTTTTTTTTCTTGGGGGGGGGGTGTCTACTCTAGTGCATTACTTTATAAGTTTATATATATTTTACATATTCTATATCATAAGAAGCATGAAGAAGAGAAAATACAAACAAAATAAACACACTTCTTGCAGAATGAGAACAGAGGCACAGATCATTGTAAATATGAAATTACAAGACTTACAACGACAGAGGTAGTGCAAAAATATAGAAAAAGAAATAAGTTCTTGGATGTTTTTGTGGACTTGTTGTAATCCCTGAGATCCTTTTAGCGTGATTTCCTCGTGGAGTTTCTCCCATTTTACTTGACAGTGGCCTTAGGATAGCTTAATAACGTCCTGTAATCTAGCTTTTATAGAGATTTTTCAGAGATGGGAGAGACTGGAAATGTCTCCCTCTTCCTGCATCTGTTTCTTAGCCTGCGGTGTGATTGCAAAGGAGAACTGACAAAAAGTCAATAAATATTCAGATATGAAAGAAATGTGAAGTGTTATTAGTTGTATGTTGCTGAAAATCCATTGTGACATTGGCACATCCAGTCCCACCCACAGCCGATTGTGTGGACAGAAATAGCAATTAAGATTAATAAAACAATTCCTTCTTGCATGCCAGAAATCTTTCAGACTTTTGAGGGAAATGTGGCCCCCTCAGATTTTGAAAGAAAATTGAAGTTTCAAACCCATTTGGTGCGATTTGGTGCATATTTTCTAGTAAACTAAACAGCTTTAGTGTGAAATGGCCATTAATGTATCTCTTGCCATAACTGTCTGTGTATTAAAGGCACATGTACATTTAATTATGAATTCTGGTAATGACAATAATATAAAATTATCATAGAATCAAACAAATTTGAATTCAAAGGGTTTCAGACTAAAAATAAATGATATCTAACAAGTATTTCAAGGAAGTTTTGAATGTCTGCTTTTATTTGGCTTGTCCAAACATCACAATCCAATTTATTATAAGCACTTCAGAATCTTTGAGAGTCACTGCCTCTCTCAATTAAAGTACAGTCCCACTTGCAGAACTCACTGATTAACTTTAAACTTCCACCTTGGTGCCATGCATAGCCTGTCTCTATCCTTTCTGCCTCCAAGCCATGCTTGCTATACCTGGCCTGCGTTTACAAATGTATGAGGATATTGGCAGTATGACGTCAGTAATGGTTTATCTGGTTACCCCTGATTGTCATTGAGCCTGTAACATTAGCTTTTCAATCAATGAGAGCTTGAGAGTCAGGCTACCAATACATCAAGAAATCAAGCCTTTCATGTCTCATTCATATTGATGCTCCAGTCATTTCGTTCATTTCTTGCAAAGCTTTAAACTGCAAGAGAGAAATGATGCGATATAGTATTGATGGTCATTTAGTTCATTTACTTGCAAAGCTTAAACTGCAAGAGAGAAATGAAGCGATATAGTATTGATGGTCATTTCATTCATTTTCTTGCAAAGCTTAAACTGCAAGAGAGAAATGAAGCGATATAGTATTGATGGTCATTTCATTCATTTTCTTGCAAAGCTCAAACTGCAAGAGAGAAATGATGCGATATAGTATTGATGGTCATTTAGTTCATTTACTTGCAAAGCTTAAACTGCAAGAGAGAAATGAAGCGATATAGTATTGATGGTCATTTCATTCATTTTCTTGCAAAGCTTAAACTGCAAGAGAGAAATGAAGCGATATAGTATTGATGGTCATTTCATTCATTTTCTTGCAAAGCTCAAACTGCAAGAGAGAAATGAAGCGATATGGTATTGATGTTCATTTCATTCATTTTCTTGCAAAGCTTAAACTGCAAGAGAGAAATGAATCGATATAGTATTGACAGTTATTTCATTCATTTTCTTGCAAAGCTCAAACTGCAAGAGAGAAACAAAAGGTAATGACGTTATTTCATTAATATTCTTGCAAAGCTCAAACTGCAAGAGAGAAATCAAGCAACAGTGTATATTTCATTAATTTACTACTAGAGATCAATACAAGATTGAAATCAATTATACATTCATTCTCAATCCCTTGAGGTATGTCTTTATCATAAGTAAGCCCACCAATATTCAGCCCATTCATGGCTAGAATTTTCTTTGAAGTTCGACATTGATCAGACTCTCCTCTTCAAATTGGCAACACTCGTGTTCATTTTCCCTTTTATTTCCACCTATTTCTTATAAATAACCATTAATCAGAAATTAGAGTACATGGTAAATGGATACTTGGATAAAAGGCCTAGTTTGTTTGGAAAGACAGTGATTATGGCACTCTCCAACATGTTGCTACTTTCGGGATTTTTATGCTTGTTTTGCTAATAGAAATTCCTGAAGTCAAATACCCAATAGAAGTGCAAACAGGGCTAGATTTTTTTTCCCCAATCATTATGAGGTACCGGTACATGTATATCAATGTCTCAGTATAAAATGTAATCATCAACAAGACTCGCTTGTAATATAACGCAGCTAAGTGCCCATGATGAATTTCTTACACAGGAAGATGGTATCAACCGGGAAATCACATCCTTTATTTTTAAGCAGTAGCACAATCATGTAGTAAGGAAACTACTTTTTCAGCAAAGATTATGAAGAAAAACTGGTATCACTCATGTTGTGAGAGATAAGCTGTCCGTATGTTGAACATTTTGGTTAAGAACATAAGGGTAGGATACTATGCACATGAACAGAGTTTTTCATTTCTCTTGTGATTCTTCGGTCATGTCAGGTATTGCCCTGTTATCTGTTACGTGACTTCTCTGTTATTTTCCTACAGTATAAACTTTTAGAGAGTACCGGCTTTTGCCTTTGCAATAAAGTTTCAGTCATCTCACATGACATTTACAAATGATAATGCAGTTAGTAGGACCATTGTCATCTCTACATCACATCATCTTATTGATCAAAATGCAAAATAGTTCTCTGCCACCATTCTCTCATGACTTCACATCCTCCCATATTAAACACTACTCCTCTTTATTCTCTGCTTCCCAGGCAAATTCAGCTTCTGGTCGCAACCAACCACCCACGGTAGTTCGTCCATCGTAGAGTTCATAGAGGAAGCGATGCGGCACTCACGGAACGGCCGCTTCCTCTACTTCTTGCGCCCTCGATGGCCAGGACTCCCTCCCGTCCCTCTTCAGCTGCTCTATCCCATCTCTCGGTTCCAGAAGGCTCGCTCTCTCCAGCACATGTGCCGCTTTGTCATCCGCCGAAACGTCCGGCTCGACCACATCGATGCCCTCCCGTTGCCACGGCGACTCAAGGACTATCTGCGGAAGGGCAGTATTATACTCCAGATGATATTAAGCCTTAAGCCAATGAGATGATGAGGAAAAGGCTAAGTATATGTATTAACATGTTTACGTCATAAATCATGTCATTTTTTACTCAATTCGATTTAATCACTATTGAACACTACAGCTAAGTAAAGCAGTAGTATGCAAAGCTTACCATTTTAATCAATAGTATAATAATGAGAAAAAGCAGTGCAAATATTCTTGTAGTTTAACTGCAAAAAGGAAAACTGAATCACCAAGTGCATAGCTCTACAAACCATTGAGATTTCTCTTCAATCATGCGTGATCAAACTAATGAGAGGTGAAGAGTTCAGGGTTCAAGCCCATTAGCTTATTTTTATTTTGTATAGATATTGCCTCAGAGGATTAGAAAACATGTTTGTTTCACAGCCAAATATGCACACACATATCTCTAAAATATATCATATTGAAGACTCTAATTATTGAGCATCATGATTGAAATACATGGTATTGAGTAGTTTGAAATTGCTTGTAACTAGGCCTGAGTCAAACCGTTTAACCGACGGTTATCCGACCGCATTCATCAAAACCGTTTAGCATTTCTCGCTCCGGTTAACCGTTATTTGCATACATTTTGGAATGTGCTAATAGCCGATGATAAAGATAATCAAAGAAACCGCAGTGTAATGTTACACCCTGGTCGCTGCGCGCCAGCTTTCTGGCAGCAAGTAATCCCCATGAATGAATTTGTAACAATAAAACAACCAGCCCCCTTCTCTCTTTTCTCACCCTCTTTATTCCCTCTCTCTGCAAGGTGTTCATCGCTCATGTACCTTTTCTTATTACTGCACTCTCAGCTCACAACTTTCTAAATGTTCACACATTCGATGGTCAGTTCCTCTCACATCCCTTCTCCCCCGTCTCTCTCTCTCTCTCTCTCTCAATATTAATATCCATCCCTTGCCGACTCGCCCCCTAAAATAATGTTCATATATAAATCAAATACAAAAATATTGATAACAATAATAATTGAAGTTTTAGAAATATCAATCAACAAAGTCTTGGATATTGTGAGTAATTTAAGTTTTTGATCATTCTTCAATTCAGCCGATTAACACAGCCACCCTTTCTATCTAGTCTCACTTGTTTTACTTCTTTACTCTCTCGTGTCCCTGCCTCGTCCATGCAGGGACATGCAGGGACATGCTAGCCCATGCATGCTCTCTCAGTCACACACACATGTACACACAAACCTCCGGCGCCCAATACACTGTACATACACACAGATGGAGAGCTCATGCTTGTCACATGCACACATGTGGGCGTGGCTTCTTCACCTCCCACTGAACTGGGTACGGTGAAAGCACGCGCGGTCACCAACCTGTAATTTATGCTGGTATCAAACTCCACCCACATAGCTAGAGAACCTTCCTGATTGGTCACTAACTTGGATTAGCTCATTGCAGGGTGTGTCTTGGGTGTGTGTGATACACACTTCCACATAATTTCATATGGCAATGATACATGCAGGGAGCTCTCTCCCTGACCATGTGCAAACATTACATTGCAAAGGCATATATAAACACGTCACAGATCAGCTATCTTCACAGAGTAATTTTGCAAGGTTAATCATAATATCAAATTCAGATGAGGAATAATATATGTTTTATGTTGTTTATTACTGGTCTCTGTTTATCAGGATGACCCAATTTGTGCCATGGTCCGGGGCTGGGAATGCTCAGCCCGACAGTCTGAAGACCAGCAGGGTTCCGAGCTACAGCACTATTACAAATACTGTATTTTCACTTTTTCAGATTATTATTAAACGGTAAACGAAACCGCCCGTATACTTTTAACGGTTAACCGTTTAGCACAAAAACCGTAATGACTCAGGCTTACTTGTAACCAAACCTTTCATGATACAGTGTATTACTTCACTGTACCTTAACTTTAACAATTGAATATGAATACTCTATATTTTAACCTCATACAGCTCTTATAACTGGGTAATTTATTTAGGGATATTGAAATAATGTAGGTACATGTAAATAAACTCAATTCAGTTCAATTCAAGGTGGGAACTACAATTCTAATCACTGCACAAATGATGCTGTGATGGTACCAAGTAAATACCACACACATCTAAAGCAACACTGCACATGTAAATATTCAATGACATTCAGGAAAGCAGAAAGATATTTTTATATTTATGATTTTAAAAGCTTTGTAAAGGCCAGACACAATAGATATTCTGGTCTGTTGAGTTTGAAAGGCAAATGTACTTCAGAATACTACGTTGCTTATATAATTCGGTGTTAAACAGAACCTTATTTACAACCTACAGATTGGTTAGGGATTTCAACTCAAGTATTTTTCTACTGCTAATATTTTTGTGCATCCACAGTTCCAAAACTGAATTCTGTGTATGAAAATAAGAATGAAATTATGCATCTCAGTGTGCCAATCAACTATTAGATCAGTGCCAAACAGTCTTTATCCAAGATTCTTCACTATCAATAATGATAATACAGCATGTAGTTATAAATGTTTCCTTTATATTGGTGATAAAACAAAGGCTTGGGCAACAGTTGTTTAAAGCTCTGTTTCATAAAAACCTGTTATTAATACAAAATAAAAAATGTCTATGACAAATTCGCTCCAAGCCAATCAAATGGCACAATTTCAGTAGCTTATAACAGTTATTGTATTTTGCTTTACCGGTATTTGAGAAACAGGACCCTGGGCTTTTTTTTCCATCAAGAAACTGAAGCTGCAATGCAGCGATGTCTAGCTTGATGGAGGGCTTCTCCCCTCATGCAGTCTCCATGGGCCCTGTTTACAAGTGGGAAAAAAACCAGCCCTCTCTGACCCACTAACTACGCGGAGGGTTTGCTCCAACTGTTCTCACCCTTTCAAAAGGGTGTTGCCATAGTTACGTCAGAGTTTTAAATCTCACGGGAGCAAAGGTGTGTTTTTTCTTCTTCTTCCAATTCCATGATTTCTACTCAATCATAGAGCAGCACAGTTAAGAAAATGTTGGGAGTAGAGAGAAATCCTCTTCAAGAAAAAGGAAGAGAAAGTACTCCCGAAATTTAAAAATATTCTTTTGATGACATACTGGAACTACATTTTACACTTTATTTGTGATGTATCAATGGATATCTATTATCTATAGAGGATAACTGCTCTTTGCTTAATGAATTCAATACCTATCGATAACAAATCACATTACTTTAGATATATTAGGTACAGTTGTAGCTGGGAAAGTTAACATAGATTATCTAGATTAAGGGAAACGTTTTAATATTTAGGAAATATGAGAGAAAAAAAGAAAGAAAAAAAATCCAAACCAAAGACACCATTGATTGCCTTTGCATGTATACCTCACCTGTTGTGTAAGTGCATCATTTTTCCATCTCTTTGTTCAGTTTATGAACAGAAAAACAAAATCACACCCAGCCTATACTGTGTAAACCTACCGTGTCTGCATGCATGCCACGTTGATTTAAGATTTACATTGTTTTATGAGCTTGTTACAAGTGTCAGGTTTAATTGGAGTAAAGTTTATAATTGAGATGTAAAAGGGAAATTGAAATTAATAATCACCAGACGGTGTGTCCTGTTGTGGGGGTCAATTCTCAAGTGATATAGTGAGTTATTATCACGTGCAGTCAAGGATAGATTTGATATGTTGTGTTCATAACTTTAATTTTAGAACTAGAATGTCACCAAACTTTCTGTTTCATACACACAAACGAATCAGGAAATGCTGTGGAAGGTATAAGGATTGTCACATTTGAGGGTTGACGGAAGGAACATAAACTGATGTCCTTGTCAAGGTAAGGTACATGTGTGCAGTTGAATGAAATTAATGTGGATAGCAATTAATCTGGTTAATGGAATAATTGGAGCCTTGGCCTTGGAGGACATAGATAAAACCATTCAATACCCATATGAAGACCATGATTATGGAGATATCCCACTTAATTCATGTACTTTGTTATCACTCTGCTGAGTCACTCTCTTTGGTGAACCTCATACTCATCGATCTTCAGTGCAGGCTTATAAGTGTAATGCATTAGTAAATACCCCAAAACAAAAACAAACAAACAACAAACAAACGAAGCAATCATACATAACAAAAAAAAAGGTGAAATAAACAAAAACACATACAACACTTTTGAAAAGTTAGCATATTAACATTAATGTGAATGTAGACTACAAGTATGGAGAATGGATATCGTCACTGCTTTGAAATAACAGACAATGATATATTTGTTTATTTTTTTCTCACTCCACCGTTTCCTCATTTCCATTTGAATGATACTTTGATGTTGATTTTTTCTCTTAAACCAAAAGAAAATTTCTTCTTGTCATAGCAATAAACAAAAATCTTCTATGATTTCCATGGAGTATGATAAGTAGCAGAAATAAAAAGTAGCAGAAAATGTCTTGGACGTCTTTGGAAATATATTTATGGCAGCAAGAAATTGGCCTCAATAAAGGAAAGATAAAGATTGAGTAAAATAGAACCCTGTGAATTACCTTATTAACCTTTATATTGCTGATAGGATCAACTAGTCTACAATGCCATTCTCACTTTGAAAAGGTCGTCGGTAAGAGCGTTATGTTTTGAAGTATTAAATTAGATATTGTACTTTCAATTTTTTTTTTCCAAATCAATATAACCATTGATGATGTTCATTTCTAGTTGATTACAGTAGTCTTCATGTCAGTCACAAATCTTGCAAGATTTTCCAGCAATGAAGAATATATTGATCTGGGTTGGGTCTCGTGTTTAAAGACTAGCAGCTAGCGAGTTGAACTTGGAGAAGCCTTTGATGCGGTCCTAGATTCGCTGGCTGAATGTGTTCTTTAATATCCTGCCTGCAAATTGGATTTCTTGTCGCATGGATTTATTTTGGGAGAACTGGGGAAATTGGGGTGTCTGCTCTTACCCGCCATCACCTAAAGAATCTCAGTTACTTCTCTTTCATATATATGGAGGGGTCAGTGACACAAAGACACAACTCCATTTTGGCCATTTTGAGAAAAAGTGGTTTAAAGAT